CAAGTCTGTGGCCAGAAGCTCAAACTCAGATAATAATTATAGCCGCAAGCAAATACAATTTTACTAATGAGCGTTTTATAAAAAAAAAACATGATAACGGTGTGCGTCATTTAGTATCTTGACAAACTTTGCAAGGTTTTTAAAATACTTTACCACTCAACGAACCAATTAATCTTCTTATTTTTTTGGTTTAACGTTTATTGAGCTACTATGCTTACATTGATGAATAAATATTTGTCGTTTGCAGCTTCTTCCGAATGCGAAGGCGATTAATTTAGACAACTTAAAGAGCCACAAAATCCCACTTCCTTGAAAGTGGGCCATGATTAGCATATTTATGACAAATCTATGGAATTCGTGCATTTTCCAAAAAGTCCAATTTGCTTCAGGTAGTTCATTGTTTGAGAATGGTTAATCTTTTACAAACGCTTTCTGTTTACGTGAAATGACGAGAAATATAGAATGCAGATTTTTATATTATTTAGCTTCTCTTTTTTTCTTCTATTCTATTCAAGTAACTTGAAAGACATGGATAATAATGAAATGTTTATGCGGAAGAAAATATTTTGAGCAAAACAAAATGTTTCCGTACCCAGATGCCAACAAGCGGGTGGTTTAGTAAAATCGATTATTACTACAAATCCAAGACAAAAATATTGCGAATGTTTGAGCAAAAGTTACTTTTAGCTTCACAATTTACACACTACAACTTCAACTTCCAAAGTGGTCCAGTTGACATATATTTTAAGCAGGTTCATTCAGAAACTTCGAAAGCTGAGCTTCTTCAACTGGAAGTTCTTTCCATAGAAAATCAGTATTTTCAAATACTCGGAGACGAGTTTGATTGACGAACTCAATTTTGCACAACAATGATTGCGATAATTGAAATTCAACCGAATTTAGTATAAGTAGAATATTTGTTTCAGTGATCAATCAACTTTTTTCATAGATATATTAATTTTTTATATATTCAGTAGGAAGTCGCACTTCCACCTATGCATTGTGTGCAGACAAGTTCCTCTCTGGTCTCTGCCTGCCTTGTCTTCACTCCAGTACTTGTATGTGTGTTCCATATACAAAAAAACGTTTTTTTTGTGCGATCGGAAATGCCTGAACAAAAAATTTCGACAAATAATCGGTTGGCAGAAGACGCGTTGAATAATAAACGCGGGCAAATCGCCCGAGGTAACGCTCTTGATTTTTTTCCTCTGGTATTATTTTGTTTGTTGTATGTATTGTTTTGTACAATTGCGTACAAAACTGTTCAAAAAAATGCCCAAAGGTTTCTTTACTGAGATGCTAGCAAGCGCGTGTTTTGTTAGAATCCAACATTACTTAAAACAAATTGTGATCATTTCACCTAAATTTACTTTTTGGTCCAGCCGGTGCAATTTGAATTTTAATTTGTTTCTTGTGCCTCTACTACAATCTACCGATTCGGTTTAATAGAGTCATAATATATACCTAATCAAATATTTTATGTCGCTTTCTTAATGCGATTATTTGGGTTTTGCTATGTTATAATAATTATTAATATAGTACATATTTGATTCTGGTACATACTGATTGTTGGTAATCTAGATGCAACAAAGTTATTTAAGTAATCATACTTTTTAATTAACTAAGACAATATTGAATTGGCACGCGTAAAGGCGATAATGCACAATAAAAAAATACGATTCGTTTGTTTTAATGAAATATTTTTTTATTTATTTACAGCAATACAAGAAGTATTGTCAAACCAATTATAACATTTACATTATGAAGAAAATAATACATTTTTGAAACCTGCACAAGCCATTATTATCCCGTATTTCCCTATTGGTATGCAGATTTAATAATATCCGCTGCCTTTTCAGCCACCATAGCGACAAATGCATTAAGATGTCCAGATATTTCACTCGGGATGACTCCTGCGTCTACCACTCGTAAGTTTTCAATACCGTGGACTTTTAAGTCGGGATCTACCACAGATTTTTCCGGGTCCACTCCAAACCTGGTAGTTCCTAGTATATGAAGTCCCTGCAATAAATTCAGTTGAAAGTCGAAACATAATTAACAGTTAAGTAATAAAATTACCGCAGCGGAAGAATATCTTATGGAACAAATCCACCAATCTTTGGAAAGTGCATCATAGTAAGGATCACAATCTGGCACGGCGGGATACAGCTGATAAGCTCCCAAACGCTTAAAACCTTCGGTTTCATTGAGTTTCAAGGCATATTGGATTGCGTTGTACATAATTTCCACATCATCATCGCTTCCAAAATAATCGTTTTCAATCACTGGATAGTCTTTCGGACTGTTTGATTTCAAAGTTACTTTTCCGGTATTTTGAGGATGCAATAATATTAGAAGCAGGGAAAAATCGGTCGTAGAGTCTAGAACCTCTAATGTCTCCAGGTAGGTGTCATTATAACTAAACAAAGATATTGTTTAACTATTCAAAGTCTTTGATGAAGAATACGACTCACCCTAAGAACACTCCAACTGATTCGGTAACCGCTGGTGGACCAATGGTAAGTATTTCTACTTCCGGAATTATACTATCATTCCCTTCTGAATTGAAGTAATTAACTGTTTGAAGCGCGTATCCAGCAACGAGTGGCCGATGG